GGCGGGGGCGGGGGCTCTGGCAGCGCTCTGCTGCTGGGAGTCCGACCGTGTCCGCAGTGCCGTTCCGTTCTCTCGATCGTGACGAACACAAAACCATTTTTCGGGGGTCCGATTCGCCGAGGGCCGCCCTCCCTCCCTAGTGCAGTGTTTGTTGTGCCCGCCGACGTCCCCCCCGCGAGTGAGTGCGGACGAGTGCGTGACCCCGGGGGCACCCACCTGCGACACCCTCCCCCGCCGGGCGCTGCCGCCCAAGTGCATCAAGCAGAACAGCCCCGTCGGCGACCTCGCCCGGTCCGAGACCTCGCACCGCGACCGGCCAGTGCGCCTCCTGGAGAGGGCGCCGCCGTCACAGTGCGCTTCGTTGGGGACCTCGTCCCGCCCGGGGCGCCGGAGGCCCCGCTTCCGCAGCGCGCCGGTCCCCGAGCTCCCGGAGAGCGCCACGAACTCCCCGGGACGACCGGGGACTACTTCAACGCCAGGACGTCCCCGTCTTCGACGCCCAGCCTTACCCTGGACACGCTCGTGGACGTGTACCGGGACGCCGCCTGTATGGACTCGGGTAAGAGCACGGCGCCGCCCCATCCGTCGATTCGATAAAGGCTAAGCAAGCCTTTAAGGGCGTTGAACACCCGAGTGTTTCGGTCGCGCTATCAAACGTTATCGTTCGATACCGACCGAGTGAGATGAGATCCATAGATCAGAGCTCAGAGCTCAGTTGGGATGGGCCCTTCCTCAGCGTCGCCCGGTCCTTATCGACCGAAACATCCCGTTGAAAACTCACTACTTGTTCCATCATTCGACAGTTAAGAGGGCCGTTTCGCACACAACGCGAGACGTGAGAAAACCTCTTCCATTTTGCCGCGCGCCCCGCACCCTCGCCGGGGCGGCGAGGAGTGGGGAGTGAGGGAGGGGGCCCACCGAGTCGGACAATAGCCACATTCGTATCCCGATAACGGTGGCATTGTTAACCTGCCCGCAATGCCCGCAATCAAGATCCTCTGGCAACGAGCATGGGTTCCCGCCTACTCTGTCGTGAAAAACCCAAAACTTTGCTTTTCCAGCCGCTGTACTCTAACGTTCTCGCGTCTTCTTTGTTGACACGCATTTTACTCGCAATTGTATGAAGACGTTTCTATGACGAAAGCGAAACGTCAAAATTACGCAGAGATAGGTGAGTCTCGGAAGACTCGGCCATCGCGCTCCGCCCTGCAGCTAACAACCCCGCGGGGCGGGAGACGACGCACTTGGCATGCGATTGCGGGAGGACGCTTCAGCGACGCCTCAGCGCGACCACTTTTGCGAAGACGCACTGCCGATGCGTCGCTCGATTTGAAATCAAGTCGCCCGGGGGTGACGTTTGGATGGAGGCGGACCCGTGGGGCTCAGAAGGGAGGGGGGGGGGGGGAGCACTAGTATAACAATGACAAAAGTAAATGCCCCTCTTCTTTGCTCGGCGACAAGCAAAGAGTGGACTTGAAACAGTTTGTCATCATGGTTTCACTAGAAGCAAAAAAAAGATGAAAGCGACGCTAGCCTCTCCATCTCTATGGTGCATGTAACGAGCAAAATGTATTTTGTTTTCTCGATCCCGAAGGAAAGTTCCGATCGGTCATGACGAATGTGATGGAATAAGGCCAATCAATTATACAAAACGCGCGGCTGGTGGGCAATTAGCGGGCGGCGTCCCCGGGCTCGGCTCCGACCATCAGCACAGGCTCGGCTCGGCTCGGCTCGGCTCGACTCGACTCGGCTCTGTGCCGCGTTTGTTTTTTACGCTCTCGCTGATTTCTGTTTTGTTGTACTTTCGCGGGAGCGGAACGGAAACCCGGCCGATAGGCGCGGAGTGAATCCAAATACATATGCTTTTTATTATTTGCTTCCGCGCGCTCGAAGGTGCTGACCATAGTGCTATGAAGCGGTGCTGCTGACCCATGGGCTGAAGTCACCGGTGAAAAATGACAAGGGCGAAAGTCCGTGGACTTTGCATTGGACTTACGCCCTTTTCATCAGTGAAGTGCAGGCCCTCACACCACCGCCCGTTTGAGACTTGGAAAACTTCTCTGATCATCCGTCAGCTGGGCGTCCAGACGAGAGCGATTAGAAAGCAGAGCGAACAGACGAGAGGAAAGAGAGGGGCGAGAAGGGAGACAAGCGTCCGACCGCCGGCCGCGCCGCACATCCTGACAAACAGATTAGTTTTGATTGACAAGTTCAAAATGTTACGCACGGAAGTCTCTCGATCGTGACGTTTCGCGATATGTGCGCCATCGCCGCCGTGTTTTGTTGAACACTGAAAAATATCCTGCATCCGCGGTGCACGGAAAATTTGAAGAATTGCGGGGAGGTACAGCAGATCTGCTGGTACTAACTCCTGCTCCTCGTTGTGAGCATCAGCCTTCCGGCTTACTCCTTTACTTCAACATACTCTAGCAAGTGCTCTAACACTAGCCAGCTGGCGTTCCGGAAAGATACTCTCCAGAAAAGTTTCTTACTTTTCCGTGTGCCCTTTGCCTTTTCTTTCCTCTGTGAGTGAAGGGTAGCGCGATCTTGCGGATATTCTAGATACGGGGCGGAACTCGTCCTATACCCCGAGGGGCATATTGTGCGTATTTAATTTTTTTACCGCGCTCCCAGCAGTCCACCCCCTGCGCCCGGCAGCGCGGCGGCGAGAGGATTGAACCCGACGTGAGCGACGCGTGTCATTAGCGACCTGTTTGTTCGGCGCAGGGGCTCAACAGTTTTGCAAATGTGTAGTGCAACACATGGCACATTTCACCCGGCCCTTGCTACCTGGCATTCACCTCGGCTGCGGGGGCGGGGGCGGGCAGGGGAGGTGCCCAGTTTGCCCGCACCTCCCCTCCTCCTCCTCCCCAAACGGCCCAAACTGACACGAAATTTTGTATCTACAGCTTTGCCAAGCGGTCCGGTCCCATAGCGGCTAGGCCGGTCGGGGCCCTCTCTGCTCTGTCCCGCGAGAAAAATGAGCCCGAAAATATAAACATGCCGTGAGCGGGTGGGGTGGGGGGGGGGGGAGAAAGTGAGAGAACTAGTAAGATAGAGTGCAAGTGAGAAGAGGAGAGAGAGAGGGGGAGAGGAACAGCAGAGGAGAGAGATGAGCGGGGAAGGGATAACGGATGAGGGCAGACGAAGCGCAGGGGCTGGCCGGGCCGGGCCGCGCCTCACCTGTGGTCTCATCAGTCTCATCTTGTCCCCTTCTCCTCTCCCTCCCCATTCCTTTCCCCTTTCTTTCAAGGGAGCGCGAGGCCGGGACCCGACCTCCCTCCTCTGGCAGGGCGTGGCGGGGCGTAGCGAAGCGAGTGAGAGGTGAGGAGTGACCGGCCCGGCCCGGCCCGGCCCGGCCTGGGCCGCCCCCGCACCAGCACCCCCTACATCCCGACGCAATAAATCGCACAGGTGCCGACGAAGGCGATTTTCCCCTCATTTCGCCCGCAAATGCCCCCACGAAGAGTGCGCGCCGCCAGCCGCAGCAGCCGTGGGCTGCCGTAGACGATACCTAAGAGGCTGTCGTACAAAGCTGCTACAGAAGCTGTCGTAGAAGCTGCCGTTTAAATGCTGTCGTAGACGCTGGCTTTAGACACCGCCGTAAACCCTGCCGTAGACTCTGCCGTAGGAAGGCTGGCTGCGCAGCGGCTGATGTGTAGTTAAGACAAGTTAGGCAAAATTCCCACGGATTCGATTTGTTTGGGGCAGGTTGTATCTACACTCTACGCCTGCTTACCAGGCAACATTTACACACGCATGCTGTGGCGTTGCCTAGTAGGGAGGCGTAGATGCAGCCCGCTCCACACAGCTGAATTCGTGGGAAGTTTTGTCTACAACTCTACAACTCTCTAAACTGAGGCTATCGTGGGGGTTGTGCCATATCAGGCTCATATATGAGCATATATAGGGCAACCCGGGTTGCCGTAGAGGCTGTCGAAGAGGCCACTGCGTAGAGGCTGTCGGAGGCCTGCCGCAGAGGTAACCCACCGTAGAGGCTGCCGATCGGAGGATCCCCGTGGGGCGGGGCGACGGAGGGGCGACACCAGGACGCGCACATTAATGTCGTTTTGTCGAGCAAACTACTTAGCCGGCCTCTGTTTGAGCGCCGGGCCCGGGCCGGCTGCAGCCAGGCTCTGTTTGCTCGCCGCCCCGGATTACAAATAGGTGCGCGGTGTGCGGCGCGGCGGGGCCCATAGCGCAGGGCCCACAGCGGCAGCAGCTGCTGCAGTCAAAGCCTCGGCCGGCCCGAGTACCGAGGATGTACTCGCCGCGCACGCCTTACATGCGCTCCGTCACTAAAAACGGTCCAGCGTTCAAATCTCCCGCGCCGCGCCCCTGCCTCAGGTGATTGTCGCCGATCGGGACAAACGACGGTAGGCTCGGATAAGCGACTCGGGAGGACGTTGACCTCACGTGACCCGTGACCCGATAATATCGAGTGGGGATCGGCGGAGGGGGATCGGGCCGGAGCGAAGGCAGGGGATGAATACGGGAGCCGTGGCGGTGTGAGGAGTGTGTGCAGAGAGACGCCGGGCAGGCCAGGGCGGCGGGCCTGAGCACACACCGGCTCACCGGCCGGGCGCCTCTCGAGCCCACACAGGCCGCGCCGCCTCCGGGAGCCAGGACATGGCCCCAGGACGAGCCGAAGGGACCCCAGACCGACAGCTGTGGCGGCGAGGTGATTGGGGACTTTTTGGGGACACGATGTAGGCGTGTCACTCTGACTCGGAGGGCAATTTTTGCGAGAGGACAGTGGCGAGTTACACGCACCTTTTGGGAGCGTGGTGTCGACCAGCTAAAGTATCCCGTGCGCGGAGCTGTCAAACGTAGAAAGTCCTTTCCTCCCGAGGAGGGTCCCACCCAAACCTTCCCGTTCTTTGACACGACGGCACCGGCGGCGGCCGGCGCGGCGCACGCGGCGCACCCCTTTGGAAAAACTCAAGCAGAAACGACCGATAAAATTTTTTGTTACCGCTTTCCACTCGTATTTGCGCGCCGGCTGGGGGCGGCTTTGCGAGAAATAATGTGTGTCTCTGAGGGCGTCCGGCCCCAGTGTGTGTGTGTGTGTGGAGAGAGAGCGAGAGAGAGCGAGCGCGAGAGAGAGAGAGAGAGAGAGAGAGAGAGAGAGAGAGAGAGACGACGACGACGACGACTCGGCCATGTGATGAGCGGGCGGGGCGGGGCGGCGGCCTCAAAGGACGCACATGCAAAGGACCCTTGCTGCTCGGTCTCGTGTCTGTCTAGTGCTCTGGGCAGTGCGCCCCGCCCAGCCCCACCACGCCCACTTCGGAGCCTGCCGCCGCCACCGACGCGCCCTCGTCTCTTGCGCCACGACACTCCACGCCACGCCATTTTTCTGAAACTGGAGATCGGCGGCTGATGCTTCTGCACAGACCGGTGGACCGGTGCTTGGCAGGCCGTGGTGGATCCTGCTCTGCGACAGCAGCAGGGGACAGTTGTGTATAGGTGGACGAGGAAGCCCGGGTCGTTGTGTCGTAAGGGTGGCTCAGAAGTGAAGCATGATGTTTGGGCAGGCGCTCGGCGCCGTGTAAGTCGGGAGATCGGAGACCTCCCCACATTGTTTGACTTTCGGTTCCGATCTCGGAGACAGTCCCCAAAATTTTCGTGTTTTGTTTATCTTTTTAAAGGCAAAACAGGAAAATTTTGGGGACTGTATTGGCTACGGAGCTAGCCCTCTGATCACCCTCCAGGGCCTGCCTCGGGGGGCACCATACGATAACACCTGCTGTGGGGAGCGTGCAGCATCAACGCCTGGCTACTAGGCAACGCCTCTGCACGCGTGTTTCAGTGTTGCCTAGTCGGCAGGCGTGCAGATGCCGCCGCCGCGCCACACGCCTGCTTACTAGGCAACACTGAGACACGCGTGCGGAGGCGTTGCCTAGTGGCCAGGCGTTGATGCAGCACGCTCCGCGCTCCACACAGGTGCATTCGTAGGAATTGTCGCCTAACCGCCCGCGGGCTCTCACCTAGACGTGACTTGTGCGTGTCCGTCTCCCGTCGCGCACACTCTGCCTGGGGCCGTGTGTCTCCTT